TCACGAGAGAAAATCCACAAAAATTTTGAGAGAGTAATTAGTTATTTCCAAAAGCAGCAAAAGCGGCAGGCATTTATTTTCTGAAAAACGGATAAATCAAAAATTTAGTTAGTCAGAAGTCAGAAAGACTTCTGACTAACTCGCGTGGAAATAAATCAGTATTGCGAATCATCGGTTCAATAAAATTATAAGTGATTTTCTCGTACGCACTGGTTTTTGCCATACACTCATCGGATTTTCTGTCATATACTTCTGGTTTATCACGATGAAAAATTTTTGATTTATCCGTTTTTCAGAAAATAAATGCCTGCCGCTTTTGCTGCTTTTGGAAATAACTAATTGCTCTCTCAAAATTTTTGTCGATTTTCTCTCGTGAAATCTTATTAAAAATTTGTCTCTTAACCTCTGCTGCAAAATTATCTATTACTTGTCGGGGGATATTTCGTGGGCGTATATTCTGATTAAATCTGCACTGTATCTTATCTCACATAGTTGCCACTTCCTGTGACAGACGACGAAATGCTGTTTTGGGGTTTGGGTGGATGTAAGCCGGACCTTTCATGCTGAATCTGATGGCAATGTTTATTTTTAGACAAGAGCTCAAGAACAAGGCGAAAACGGAGGTTTTTAAAAATTGGGGTTACCGCGCTATTTTCACGTAATATTAAAATATTTACAGCTCACTCAGAAACATCCTGACGAGTGGGAAACTTCAAGGTAATATTAGTTTATCCTTTTTTTAACGTAATTATTGATCAAAAGGAATTGAAAACAATATTTCTGCATAAAAGTTTTCTAGACAACGTTTCGACAAATCATAATGATTTTAGAATCTTTTTCTCTAGGTTTTTTATAAACAGGGTTATATATTTATAAAGAGGTTTTCTATATACATTAGTCGGAATTTCTTGCGTCCTGAAGTTTCCCATTCTTTCGGATGTTTCTAAGTGAGCTGTGAATTTTATAATATTAGGTGAAAACAGCGTGGTAACCCCAATTTTCCAAACATTCGATTTTCGCCGCAAGTAACAGTGTTAATTGTTCGACTGTTTCAAATGAAGGGATTTTAGCATTAGTTAATTCTGTTTCTAATGGTAGTACTTTCATAACTATAGTATATAATAGTGTTTACAATTGAACACAATTAATAACATCTAATAAATGTCTTGTACCATTTGCTTTTCTTGTTAAACATCGAAAAGCATCACGTGTTATTACAAATACATATTGTGGTAAAATATTACAAATACATATAGGTAAAATACATATTGTGAACATTTGACAATATTTCCATACAGGAGCATCTTTCTTAAAAATTAAATATTGGGAATATAATTCTGGTTGTTTGTGTTGTTGACAATAACTAGACAGACTTAATTCAATTAAAGCAAGAAATAAAAAGTATGTTCTCAGTACTATTGCAGTACACAAAGTAATTAAGAACATTAGAAGTAAGTAAACATTAGAAATTAGAAATGATGAAGAAAATAGTCTGTACATTTTTCTTTTGCTTTGGGGCTTGTGAGAATACATTATAGTCTTTTAGTAGCCATGAGTAAACAAGAAAGAGCATATTAAATGATTAAAGTCAGTGATTGAATGGATAGTGATAGGGATGATTATTTGAACAGCCTTGAATATTTCAGTTTACAATGGCAAAAGCATTTATATCAACTAATATATGTCAGCTTTATTTCGAAATGCATTTATGATCGATCTATGGAAAGAACAAAGATCGTAAGGCTTGTTAATATAATAGATAGATAAAGAAGGTCTTACACCTCTAGCTAATTGTCAATCATGCATCAATTGTATCGAGAAGTGGTGCACTTCAAATCTTATGTCGATCAATATTTCTAAGTGTGAATGTATGTTTGTTTCGAATTCCTCTCAACATGGGGATAGTTCAATCCGACAGGCGTTTCCATTCAGCGTGTAAAGAGTCTGTGTTTATTAGGTGTGACTATTTCTTCTGATCTTCGTTGGGATGTTCATGTAGACAGACTAGTTATTTCGCTTAGACGCCGTTTAGGTGCGATGAATAGAATATTCAGAAATGCTTAACAGAAAGAATACAGTTCAGCTCTAGATTGCGTTAGATTGTGAAACGGAGAATAAAAAAATGAAAATTTGTTCTATTCTGTACACAGAAATGTATCCGCTTTCTTTCATTCAGCAAAGTCAGAGAAAGAAAAAGAAAAGAGAAGCATATTGGTCTACATCTACGCGTAGATTTTGATTTTGACGGCTTTCCCAAGTAGATATACTGCTGTTTTTCTCATTGTAACAAATGTGATGTGAATCCATTATCGAAAACGAAATAAATATATAGTATTGATATTCACAGTCATTTAAAAAGCAAACATTTGAGCGTATGCGTCAGAAATGTGGAGATGGACAGTCATATTATTACTTTTCTATACTGAATACAGATCTGTCAGAACAACAACCGTATGTAAACAAAAAATCGTATTAGTTAGTCTAACATCACTATCAACTCCATATAAAATAGCTACATGGTTTCGTTATAGAGAAGATTTAAAGAATTTCAAAAATTAGGTTGTACATTTAACTGTAAGTGGTATTACGTATGATCGTACATATTGGAATTTTCCATATAAACCATCAATTTATTCCTATGTTGGTCATATTATTAATCAGAGTAATAGCAAAATTGTTGTATTAAAATTTGATCGTCTTGGTATTGGTCTTAGTGATCATCCACCGGCAAATGAAGTAAATTTGATTTCAGAGGCAAGTGTGATCTATGAATTAACGAAAAAATTACAGGTCCGGTTATTATAAAAAGACAAATTTTGATAAAATTATTGCTGTTGCTCAATCAACGGGTACGCTGATATCCTGGATAGCAACGTTGAATTTGAGTTATAATGAGTACATTAATGGGTTAATTGCAACTGGATGGTTGCATGTACATGATCCAGTGGGTTATGTTGCCGTCAGTGAATCATCTTATCCTGTACAATCAGATCCAAAATTTTCATCAGACTCCTATCCTGATGGTTATTTAACAACAAATCCAAATATACATACACGTCAAGAATTATTCTATAATATAGATGATGTTGATTCGTAAGTCATGATTAAAGATGAACAATTAAAGCAAACTGCGACTACAGGTGAAATAGAATCATTTCGTTAGCAGTTATTCCAGCAGTATCATTATCAATACCATCGCGAATACCAGTTCTTCTAGTAATTGAACAATATGATACTCTCTTTTGTAATGATTCGATAACATGTGATAGTTCAAGAATTATTTATAAACGTGAAAAGTCATACTATAAAACATCATTGGAAACTTGTTCGGAAAATGATGTTTTATAGTATGACTTTTGTAGATCTAGCGAAAGTGTTGGAGATAGAGTGCAACCAAATCTAGTCCAGTATGGTGTTTCACTTTCGTTTGATGAAGCGACACACTATTAAAACGAGAAAACGTGAAAACGAATGAAATCCAGAAGAATAGAAGTCTTTTTGGGCAAAAAACGCTAACATTTGTCTCAGCATCGCCATTTAACACTAAGTTACTTTTATTCATTGACCACGTTCCATTCCAAAGAATAGCGTTATTCATCTTCAAATTACCACGATCAATTTGTTCAAGAAGATAAATGTTAAACAAAGCACCGCGCAAATCGGTGTTAAAAAATGTTGTATATAGGGGATATCTGAGATCAGATGGACGAAAATCTACATTTGTTAAAGTTGTGCCTTCAAACTGAATACTCTCTTCAAACTTTGCTCCATTGAAATTAACATTCGACATGTTCGCAAAATTGAAGCTAACTTCACGTAGATAAGAACCACCAAAATCAGCTGCATGCAATGTTGAGTGATCAAAAAAGACATGCGGCTCATTAACAGAGTAGCTATCATCATCATACAAGCTTCTACATTCAAAATTTGAACGTGTAAAACTTGTATTAATTAATGCTGAACTAGTGAAATAAACACCATTTCGAAAGTGACATAAAATGAATGATGCATTCACTAAATTAACCGATGATAAAGATAATTTATGAAATTCAAACTTTTTATACGATGAACTTAGAAGAAAAATGCTAGCTAAATCTGCGCCTGATAGATCAAGCGAGATATCTGCATCACTACTCCCATATGACGAAAGAATTCGAGGAAGCAAATCGCTTTCATAGAGAAAAGTAAACACACGTAATTTTCGTGAAGCATCTAGTTCGTCTAGTGTTAATAATGTGTTGCTACGTATGTAAGCTAATTTAGTATGGTTGTCGACAAACGATTGCTTTACTTTGAACAGAACGATAGTAATATCTTGAATATAAGTTTTGAAAACATCTTGTAAATGTAACTCGTGCGTCTGATCTTGCTCCAGTTGATAACGACGATCATCTAATTCACGTTCTTGTTTTTGTCGTTGATTGTCGACTCTTTGCTGAAGAAGATTGATTGTGGCAGTTCCAATGCCTATTGATAGTGGAATAAGTGCCCCTAGAGCTAGATTTGCCAAATTCAAACAACATGTTGATGTTCTTGATGTTCTAGAGAATAACCAGTATAATAAGACCTTGGTTTTCCGTTGTATTAAATCTTCCTTATAAGAAAGTGACGATTTTTATTATTAATTTGACAAGAGAAGAAACTATAGTAAAAAAAAATCATTTTATCACGATTTGAATAGAGCACGTTTCACGGGAGGAGGAGAAACCGTTTGCTTTGGATACATGAAAGAAAAAAGAATACAAATTAATAGGCACACTGTTAAAAATGGTCGACTACAGGGCGGAAACAGGTTTTAATAGTGAGGGTGAGGGCGAAGACACAAGATATTGTTGCAGTTAAAAGACGAGGTTTGACTTTGTCTAGGGTTCTCAGTATTTTGTAAAATATTTATCAGAGGTCTTATGAAAGATGTAACTGGTTTATGTGATAGTTCGTGGATAGCTCTGCATCCATCATTCGTATTGTTTATATTGAGACTTGAAAAGTTGAAATCCACAGACGAGGGTTACGACCCTCGTAAACGAATGGAAACGATCGTTCACGCTGAATTACGTGCGTAATACGATCGTAAATGAGCCTAAATTACCGGATTCGACCAAGTTCTCGCCGTTACCCTACTCATCGTATTACGATCGTATTCATCGTGCAAAACCAACGCGATTAGTGGCGTCTCTTGGGGGTCCAGGCCGGGCGTATCGAGCTCACCAGAACTTTTTGCCGGGTCATCGGAAAAAAACACTGATTGATGATAAGATTTTCAGAGATTTAGCTCGATTTTTCAGTAAATTTTGGGGTAGTGCTCTCCCACCGGAGAAATCCTGGCTACATCATTAAATGCGATGACGGTAGCTAACGATGATATGTGGCGAAAATCTAAATCTCAGCCGAATTTCTGGCAAGGCTTGAGGATCCTGTGGGGGCTCATTGGTGTTTACGCCCTCACCCTCTAGAAAAGAGCATACACTACAAATTCCTTGTATCTCGAATAAGATCGCCTCAGCAGCACCTGTATTTCTCTCAACCAAATGACAGAATTGATCGTCTTAGAATGAGAGCACATCAACGGACAATAGAGATGTGTCCACTGATAAAGTATCTGTGCGCATTCAAGAATATACTCTTCGTAATAAAGACAAGGGACTAGTCCACCCTCGATCTCGATTTGTAGAACGTTTGAAACGAACGAGAACCAGTTAATCATTCAATTATTATATGTTCAAATTAATCTATACAAGAATAGATCGATCAATCAAAAAGTAGAGATATAAAGATCGCTATAAGATAGCCGTCAGCGTTGGAAGAGCTCTTGTCTGAATCCATTCGATTAATGCGACCATTCACAGCATCAGACTGGAAGCGAATAACGTCCGATGCATAAGTAATGGGATAAATGTTAGGCTTGTTTGTGAGATCACAATACACGTTGTAGCCTTCATTGTTTTTCCATCGAATAGAGCAGATTTTTTAGATAACAAAACCACTCTTCAGACATAATTTATCAACTGCGCAAGTGCTCAAACATCAGCAAGAAAAAGGGCGCTAAAAGATGTCAAGTTACATTTGAAATTTTAGCATTTGCTTAGTATTTCAGAGAATTGCATTCCCCCAAGATCATTTTCGAGTTATTGAGACTTTGCGAAAGAGAAACTATCGTTAGAAAAAGAAATTGAGGTCGAACGGTACTAGTAGACTCCAAAATTCTGATTTGCTCTCTTCATAAAAAACAGTCGCTAAGTGACATTTTTAAACTCTTCCCGTCCATCTAAGGTAATCTCATGAGAGTTACAAGTATGATGGTGCTGAATTCGACAACGAGAGAGGGCTTGGTGAGTTCCATACCAGGAATCGCTGAAGTCTCATATTTGAACTGAAACTTAATCGAAAAACCCTTTTGAATCGAAACCAAGACAAAAACATCACAAGATGGATTCACGTGTATTTCATGGTCACTATGGACATTGCTCAACCCGGTTTTCAGTTTTCTTGATGCCTTAGACCGAGACACGACGAATCTGTAACTTTCAGCTCTTTCAGCAACAAAAGCGTTGCGTATTTTTCGGCTCAAGTCCTCAAACAGACAGTGTAGAAGCATATCCCGGTCGGGCTATATATCCCGATCAGGATATATATCCCGATCAGGATATATATCCCGATCAGGATATATATCCCGATTGGGCTATAGAATTATATCCCAATCGGGATATTATAGCTCGATCGGGACATATTTTACACTATATCCCGATCGGGCTATAATTCTATAGCCCGATCGGGATATACGGCTTTTCT